CCCATCCCCCCCCCCCCCCCAGCTTTGTTGTGGGAGGTGCAGGAGGCTTTCGGGTGACTACACTGTGAATATACTGACCGGAAACTCAGCTATGACTTGAAACTGGCCTTTCTGAGTACTGGCCCCTCGCAATAGATGATCACATTTTGAGACCGTTTCAAATGTTTGCCCTCACTTGAGGTACTTGCATCCTAGCCAAGTTTTCTTCCAGGCTCTGCCTCTTGCTGAGAGCAAGCTGATAAACCAGTTTCCTTATCTAGAAAATAAGGATAATGCTCTCTTCCCATTCCAAAGGGACTTTGAGATTGAGAACTGCAGGGTGCTACAAGTGCTGTAAATTAAATCCTCGCTTTGACAGGTGGAGTGTTTCAGGGAAACACTAAGGACTAGGTCCTTTTCAATAGCTTTCAAAGGGCAGTGTTTTGAACTGGCTTTTTTCTCCCCCACCACCTTAGCTATCTCCAGTTTTGTTCAGGTGAATTTTACTTTAATCTTAATAGCTAGCCCGAAGCCTACATTCTTTCTTATCGCAGTCATCTGAAAGCTGATAGCTTCAATGGAATGGTCTATTTTATTTCATTTTTTAAACTGAAATGAATGTTTAGATCTCAAGCTGTGTTGCTACAATCATGGAAAGTGCCCCGGCAAACAGAATTTTACACCTGTGAAATGATAGTTTCCAGCTTTTCTCTCGCAATGATTTCAACCTATTTATTGGGTTCATCACCCTTCCTTTGCCTTAAACTATGGCTCTACTAAAATTTAAGTTACAAAACAGATCTAAGATACTGTAGCTGGATGCCATCATGGTAGCTGTATTTGCACTGCAATATTGTTTCATTTACTGAGCCCGGTGTGCGATAGTTGCACTTTCTCTCAGGGTACTGTTTTATTCGGACACTGTGCTCTCAAACATAACCTTTAACAAAAACTACTGATTTAAAGTTATTTTCAGAGCTAGCCCCGTTCATGCTGCCTCTCTAGAAAAGCCACATCTTTTATTTGAAAACACCTCTAGCTGTTCCCCAGAATTGTTCACTTGTCAAGTTTCCTTTTTGAAAAGGCCTTTGCTTTCCTGCGAGTCAGGCTGCTTCAAACTGCTCCATGACATGAGCTCGCGGATCATTGCTGAGGGGGGTTTCATTCCACTCACTTAGGAAACCTGAACCTTTCTATAAACACTTCCTTCCATTAATCCATCAGTGCCGGCCGGAGCGATGGAACGGCTGAAACAGCTCGTGCTCTGAAGGACTGGGAACCGACAGGAGCAGTGGTGTGACTGATGCCCCTGTGCTGTGCAGCCACATCTGTGTCGCTAAACATGCAATTAATCCTTAATACATCACGGACAGCTAAGCCCGCAATTCATGCAGGCGGCCTGTCCCCCCGGCTCTTCTCTCCACTCACCACCCATCCTTGCTAGTGGATGAGAAACTGCATTTAGGTGTGATAGCTACTTTTTTGTCCATATGTGGAAAAACTTAAATAGACCTTTTTTTTTTTTTTTTTTTTTGGTTCAAGAGACATTCATATCTGAAAGGAAATGTCTCTGTTTCCACCAGAAACCACTAAAGCTGAATGCTTTTATTTCAGTATTTCCTATTAGGTACTTCTGGATTTAAAGTCACTTACACAAAACTATCCAAATCCTGGGATTTAAGTTGATTTTTTAAATTTGAGATTGTAGGTGAAATTTGACGCTGGTGTAAAGTAGAAGCAACTGCTATTCACTTTTAAGCAGATGTGACTCGCATCAAGACTGAATTTGGTCACAGTGGAAACAATTTGGAGAATTTCAAGTAGTGATAGCGTCTGGCCTTCTGGAATAAAAATCTCTATCACCGTTCTGATAACAAATTAGCAGTTACTTTCATAATGGAGTACAACTTAAAAAATCTCTGTGAAGCTGTCTGGAAAAAAGGAGGAAAAATAAGCCTTTACTAACCTTTGCTAATCGCTGCAAAATGATTTGTCTGGCTAATGTTTAAGTCCACTTTCAGTTAACATTTTTTTAAGCTTAAGGAAAGTTTCCTTCACACCTTTGGCTCTTGTCTATGCAGCGTTTTTGGTTCACAAGACCTTGGCAAGTAATAGTTATCATTGATCAATATCCCTGTAAGTTTACACCATATACTACATTTTCATGAAAAATATATAAACACTGGTTCTTAAGTTTCAGAGACATTTGTGTTACTTTCTAGAAGAAAGTATTCTTATTTCAGGCAAGTTAAACAGGAGGCTTTAACAGTTCTAGAATTCATGAATAGCAGCAACTGAATGTTTGTCTCTGCAGAAAAAAGTGCTTTTATAATACGTCAGTGTTTGTTTGGGGTTTTGGTGGAATACCCACACCAGTGATTTAATGGTTTTGTCTAAGTACTTCACCCGCAACCAATAGCTTTGCATGCAAGTAAAAAACCACACATCTCTCTGTTCACCAACTGGCAACAGGAAACATTATTTATAATTTCACATGGGTTTAGAAACCAAATTACTAGCTTGTGTCTTAAATAGTCTTTTTCTTCTGCATCTCATTCTCACTTCCTTCCAGACCTTACAGGTACTTTGTATACACCCTGCTCTCCATACCTGCTTTCTACTCCTGTAATTTTTTAAAACGATTAATCCAGCTGAAAGAAATTTAGTCTGTTGCTTGGAGAGGAAAAGACGACACTGAATCTTTCAGCACTATGACTGTTCATTGAGATAGACTATTGCCAAGCCTGTTCTGTATAAACCAGGATAATTGTTTCATGCCAACATG